CCCCACGCGGCTCCCGAGCCCAGGCCAATCCCCTGCAGCGCTGACCCCCGTGGCGCGAGCCCCGACGGGATCCGGGCACCCCTCCCCTGGCCGCGGCGGTCCCCCCGACCTCTGCACAAAGGGCGGGACCGCCAGACCACAGAGGCTGGAAGACGAGAGGAGAATTACGAGCGGGGTGGGGGGGGCGGGGAATTGGTGCAGTCGAAACATAGGATCAACAATAGCGCGGATCAAGGACATGAGCTCCTTCGCCGAAGGCACAGGACCCCATGGAGCGACCTCAGAACGACTGTTCCAAGGTGGACGGCCCGAGCAAGAAGAACATGAGGGCACCCATTGAGACCTGGGGCTGTCTTTAACCCTCGTGCCAGCTGCGGAAGATAACCCAGACATCCGAAATCGCTTGCTTTGCTCGTTTTGTTCGCACCGTGGCTCCCCTGAGATCTGGCCCTCTCCCTGGGGGCATGTTCTCATCCCGGGCCTGTTTTGGACGGCCCCAGGGCCCAGCCAGGGCCCCCCCGGAGTCCGCACAAAGCCCAAGGCCTTCCACTGTGATTTTCGCCACGGCGCGAGGATGTCAGGGAGCCTGCTTTTTGTTAGACCCCGTCAAGTTTACTTACATGGACGGGGGGGGCCTGAACCTGAAGCAAGCCGCAAACGACTTGCACGTGCGGAATCACGCAAGTCGAAAGGCACTTGCACGCTAATGTCCTTTTAAAGAGGGGCGAAAGGGGGGAGGGGCGAACGCCTTGCAAATAAATCTGCCTGATGTGTTTTTGCTATTACAAATAAAGAGTAACACCTGAGAAAACCCCAATCAGTGGATGATCTGAAACTTAGTCACATGGATCTTGAGAGCGATTGTGCTATACATATATATATATATATGTATACATGTTTATGTGATGAGATCGATCGTGGAATCGATAGAGGGCGAGTGTAAGGTCGATCGTGCGACCGAGAGTGAAACCGGTTCAATGAGTTCGATAGGGAGATCGATCGCAAGATCGCTCGTGCGATCTCTAGTGAGATCGCTTGCGATATCGATTGTGAGATCGATTGTGAGATCGATGTTGAGATCGATAGGGAGATGGGGAATGAGATCGATGCTGAGACCGATCGATCAGAAAATCGACCAGGAACCCGGGAACCTCACCGCCCACCGAAATCGGCCCGGGAACCGGGAACCGGGGAACCCCAAACCGGGAACCGGGAACACAGCGTGCGACCAAAATCGGCGGGAAGCTTTCGCCGCATCCTTCCACCTCCGCTGGGACCCCTTCAGTGCAAGCACTGACTGGGGAAAGCATAGAAAAAAGGCTCAGGGAAAGTCGCGAGGGACGGAGCGGCGAGGAAGTTGGGCGGAGGAGCGGGGCGGAGAGGCGGGCAGGAACAGAAACCACGAGGATCCAGGAGGGGGAGGGGGAGGAGGAGGAGGAGGAGGAGGAGGAGGAGGAGGAGGAGGAGGAGGAGGAGGAGGAGGAGGAGGAGGAGGAGGAGGAGGAGAAGTTGGTCGGCACGCCCTCCCCGGCGTCCTTCGGGGGCGCTGCGCCCTCGGGCCACAGGGTCTTCCAGCCGCGCCTCTCGACGACTCGCTCGAAGTAGTCCGGCGCGATGAGGCCGTCCTTGCCCTGGGAAGGGGGCGGCAGGGCCGAGCTGCCCCGACACGCAACACGCAGCACGTAGCGCAGCGATACGGAGCTCAACACGCAGACTGAAAACGTAAGTCGTAAGTCTGGCGCGATGCGCTCGCCAAAACGTGGGCCAATGTGCTCTTAACCAACACGCACCGTATTGACACGGACTTTTCGAGCACGGTACGTGTTGCGTACCAAGACGGGCGTCATCGGGGCGGCTAGGCGGCAGCAGGATCGAAGATCGAGGCGTCGCAGCTCGGCATTCGGTCTGCTCGGGGGTGGGGAATCGAGGAGCGAGGTGGCGGGCTAGCTGCGCCCGCACGCCTTCCTGGGCAAGGAGGCGGGACCGAGGATCAAGAATCAACCAAGGTCACGGTGACGGCGATGTTGGTTGACGGCGACGTTGGGAAGCTGGCTTCTGCGACGCCGAGCTCGCGCAGAGCACGTTGCAGGACAACGCGAACAAGCCTTTCCCATTCTTGGGTTGCCCACGAGCCACCCCCACCTACAATACCGAGACCTACATCGCCGTTGGCGTGTCTACGGGAGGCACAAGGACATACTAGTACTATATGTCCTCCTTGGAGGCGCACGTCCGACCCGAACAGATAATATACCCATCTTGTAGTGTATCGTTTCCCGAGCGGTGTGGCCGGAAAGCGCCCGCCACGAAGCATATACTATAAGATTTCTCGGTGCGCGCGTCGCCCCTGGGGGGGCGACGCACATATAATATAGATATGTTGGGGTGACACCGATGTCTACGGGGCAAAGTGAAACGTCGGCCCTCGATCCTCCAGATGACCACTAGGGGACCAGAGATAATCAGACACATGGCTCTTGCTGCTATCTGGCCTCTCTTGGTCCTCTGGAGGCCAAGGCCTCTGGCCTGCCCTGTGGGCTGAAGCCTGAGCGACAAGGAGCTTTGAGGCTGTATACTGAGCTGGGGGAGCAAGACCTCGGATTACAGTTGACCTGTACCATTACGACGCACGATAAGGATGCAAAGGTCTTGGAAGATTGTGTCGACACTTCGCGGGCGAGGCGCGGAAAGGAAAAACGACCAAGGATGGACCGAGGAGGCAAGGATGCAAGGGTACCCTTGGGAAGGTTGCCCATTCTTGCCATGCGGGTTGACTGTAAGCTGGACCAGGCCCGACTTACCTCACCATGCTTGTGGCAACTGCTGGGCGCAAAGTTCCGAGGTCGTGGCGCGAGGATTATCTGCAAATGTTGTTTTTTGTTTTAAGTGTCGTTCGCTGGCGTGCGCAGCCGCTTCCATTACCAAGATCGCTGCGACACCTAAGCCCCGCTACCAAAACAAGGCAGGGATCGGGACGATGAGGAAGAGGGAGAGGAATAGGAGGAAGAGGGCGGATACCAATAAGAAGAGAAAGAGTATGACGACCAGGAAGAGGATGAGGCCCCCCCCCCTGGGGGCAGTGAGGAGGGTGAGGAGGGGAAGGACACCGTGGAGTAGGAGGAGGGAGACGAGGGGATAAGGAAAAGGGGGACTGGTGAGAGAAGAGGGATGAGGAGGAGAACAAAGGGGGAGGGAGACGAAATAAGAGGAGGATCAGAAGGATGGGAGAGGGGAGGGAGGAGGCGACAGAACTTGTCTTGATTTTTTCAAGGCGCTGGATCGTTAGCATCCCACGCCTTGAATACATCACAACATGTTTTGTTGTCTTCGGCCTCTTTGTGCCCTCGCCAGGACCCTGGACCGCGAAACCATCAACTCGGGATGCCAAACGTGGTGAGAGGAACAGGACTTTCGGGGACCCCGAGCTGAACAAGTCAAGGCACCGGATGTTTTGACCATCGCCAGACATGAAAGCGGAATCTATGCCGAATTGGGCCTGGCTGCAAGCCGCAGTTCCCAGCAAGAAATCTGACGATGTGACTGTTCAATCCGCGGCCGCAGCAACTCCCAACCATTCCACGGTGGGTAGGGTTTTCCGTCGCCGAAAACGGCCTCCGCGGGAGGCCGAAATAGAGCAGCCCAGCCATGTTGGAACAAACTATCTTTCGAATGCGCGTCTGGGTTGAACACATTTTCACTCGCGGCGATAACTGGCATTATGGAGGGGGAATGGGGCATAACGTAGCGCCCCCACTCCCCCACCGTGATACTGTGGTGCCAGACGCACTGCGGCAGTGCCAGGGACGCACTCGCGGGGTGGAGCGTTGCATGATGGTCAGGGGGGAGGGAGGGAAGGGGAGGGGGGGATTATAACGCGTGTCTTGGGCCAGAGGGTAACAAAAACAATGTCGCCGACACTGTGGGAACACCACGGCAGAGGACCCGTTCCCAGGAGCTGCGAGCAAAGTGAATGTTTTCTCATTCGGCGTTTCGGCATTGGGCGGAAAAGAGTGAAGGAGATGAAAGATCTAGCTCGGGACATCTGCTTAGTGCGACTGTTTGTAGCAGTGCGTCATATGGGCGAGACTCCCCCCGCTTGCAACGGGCGCCAAGACCGCCAAGATCTACTCCTCCATGGGGGGAGGCGGAAGGGGGTGTTGCGAGGGCCCGCGCCGATCAGCGACAAATTGAAGAAAACGATCACTGAGAGAGGCAAACACCTGCCTGGCATCGTTTTCCCCAGCCAAGCTGCACCGCGTGCAGTGCCTGGCCTGCGAGAGACCCCGCGCTCGGGACACCGCGTTTTTTTATTTCTCTCTCTCTCTCTCTGTCCTGGAGGCGACGGGGCCTGGGCGGCCTCGCCTGGGGCACCCGCGGCTCTCTCCAGACCTCTCCGGCAGCGAGGCCTTCTCGCAGCATTGGGCCCCAAGGCATCGCGGCCCGTCCCCCGGGGCAGGAGCTTCAGCCCGAGTATGTTAGATGACGGTCAGGGGCCCGAATCGGCATCCGAAGCTGGAATTTAGATAACAGCGGGCCGTCTCATGTTTGTTCGAGCTGCGGAGTGTCTCGAGGGGCCGATCGCCCGATCGGGTCGAGCGGACCCATGCTCTGCGTGCTGTGCTGCAGCCTGCTGGTACACGGCATATACGATGCTGGGAATTATGGAAACAACACGCTTGCGGCAAGCCACTGCCAAGGAGACGAAGGATGACTACGCAACATGAGCGGTTCACCTTGGCTGGGGAGTTCCACTCTGGCCGGTGGATCCCTGACGCCCCTCTATATACCTGATCACCTTCCTCCTCCTTATCCTTCTACTCCTCCTCATTTCCCTTTTTTCGCCCACCCGCTCGTCACTACAGTCTATCTACATGAATGCGGCATGCGTCCCCGCCCGCGGCCTACAAGGCTCACGGCTCAGTCTCTGCACGGCCCCTTAACAGCGGCACAGAGGGAGCCCATGATGCCATGATGCACTGCGCGCCGCTGTCCGAGGCCGCTCAGAGCTCGACAGCCTCCTGCTTGTCTCGAAGGGCAGCACCATTGAAACCTGTCAGGGGAAGCCTGGACCGACCACCGCCACCCTCAAGTGTAACAAAAGCAACCAAACAAAGGCTTGTGGTCTTTGTACTTCTGGGGCTAAGACATGGCTACCAAACAGCAAAATCATTGAGTGTGTGGAGGTGGTGGTCGTTCCCTGCGTGCTAGCCTGGAGGGACACCGTACACGCGATCCACATTCTGGAACGACCAACCGTAGGGCCGAAAATGAATGAAGATATGCGCGGAATAGTCCCCCTGCAAAGTCGTTGGACGCCCATGCACGAGCTTGGCGCTCTCGTAGAAAAACAACTCACCAGGTTTCACGTCAACCGCCTTCTGAGGCGGGAGACACATCCATATCCACCGCCTCGCGGCCCAGACTCCTCGGCCGCCACCCCACTGGTGCATGGCGAATGCCCCGCGTGAAACATATCCGTGGACTCGCGCATCCATGGGAACGCGCCTCGCTAGCATGGCCGCGAAGGCATGGGTCTGGATATGTCACGTTCCTCGCTCGTGGCGCCGCGTGGACCCCGGTGACGTCGGGGTCTGTCTCCATGAGCCACGGCTCGGCCCCCTCCGGGTAGCTGGAGTCCACGCAGTAGACCGCGCTCAGGATGTGCGTTTCCACGCGGTCCACGTGCGTCTTGAGGGTGCTGCCCTTCCAATAATTTCTGATCCGCCACCGTGCATGCTGCGCGGTAGATGATCGGTAAGCCCTGCGCAAACTGCTCAAATACAATCCTGCGGGGGCCCCCGCAGCACCGACCCGCAATAGTGCAAGACCGCGCTCAGGCCCCGAGCCTGACCGTCCTGTTTGGCTCTGGAAGCCAAACTGGCTTCCACCACGGTGCCGTCGCTGGCAGGATGGCCTCAGAAGCACTCTGCCCGAAGAGGGCATTGGGCTCACCCACAAGGTGGGGTCCCAAACGGCTCAGAAAGGAACCGAGAGCGCACCAAAAGAGGAGCAGAGCTCGAATACAGTCGACCCGTATCATAGGGATGCGCGAGAACGATGCAAGGGCCTTGGACACACATTTCGAAGCTTTTCGAGCGGGGCGCGGCCAACGAAAGCGGCCAAGGATGGCCGAGGAGGCAAGCATGCAAAAGTACGCTTGGGAAAGTTTCAGATCCTTACTATGCGGGTTGACTGTACGCTCGGTTTCGGATGACATCACAGCTACCAAAAGACTGCGCCCCCCACCCCGACCACAGACGCTGCCCCTCCCGCATGGCCAGGCACATGGCCCATTCTGGCAACCCTGAAACCAAACATTCAGCAGGGACCGACAGTCCCGGCACTGCTATCGACCTACCACGACCTAGAACCCACAAATGTTCTAAGAACATAAACACTGTTCTTAGAACATGCACACAGCGCGAATCATAGATACGCGCGATAAGGATGCAAGGGCCTTGGAATGTCATTTCGAAGCTTATCAGGCGGGGCGCGGCCAGCAAAATTAGCCAAGGATGGGCCGAAGGGGCAAGGATGCAAGGGTACCCTCGGGAAGGTTGCCCATACCTACTATGCGAGTTGACTGTAAACCCGATGTGTTAAAAGAACGTTTCGTACAGTTCGTGCAGACCACAACAGACTCTTAGATCACTCTCAAGTGGGCCTATAGGCAAGCCAGGACGCTTCGCCACTGCTCGAAAAAAGGTTGCCACCTCTCGGCTACACGCAAGAGTGACCCTAGGCAAGAGTGACATTTAGCGCGCAACTTTTGGAGAGCGCGGGAGGGCCAAACCCGAGCAGGGAAGCAGCTGCTTTCGCATCGCATTCAGCCATCTGGGGACCCCAGTGGGCCCGCACCAAAGGTCACTCCAGCGAAAGGTTACTTTTACGTATCGCCGACACCTCTTGGAGGCGCGTCTGTTTTGCTAGTCCCGCCAGCTTCCGCCTGCGGAACCGCCCGCTTTGATTCCGCCGCCTTCCGCCGGCCTTCCGCCGCCCGCCGACGAAGATCGATGGCGCCCATTCGATCCCCAAAGGGCGAGGCCTTTCTCGGGGGCGGCCAGGAGAGGGGCGGCCAAGAGTGAGGAGAACAGTTATCGTGTCGGGAGGAAAGGGCCGGGAGAATGAAGGGTATGAGCAATACCATTCGGATGCAATGCACGATGCCTTCGGCCGCCTACGGGTAATGGTATCCCCACCTCTCCCAACCCCATCCCCCAAACCCGATAACTGTCTTCCTGAATCATGGCCAGCGGTATGTGTGAGGCCCAGGGGGGGAGGGCCCAGGGCCGTGAAGTCTGGGGGGATCTCATGGCCCACGCCATGAGATCCCCCCCCATAGTCATCACCCCCCTCTGGGCCCCCCTCGACTTTTCTGGAGCGCCCCACGTGAGGATCAGCTGACTCTGGATACGCATGCGCATGCGGCACTGGAAGGTCGAAGCCGACGGCGCCCACCGCGGGCGAGGGCAGGCACCGCGAGAGGGCACCGAGCCCCTCGGGGGACGAAGCTCCGGCGGAACAACTGGCGCGGCGCGCTCTCCCCAAACGCCGGGCCGGGATCCCGAAAACGATGGAGATCGGCGGCCACTTCTCGGGAAACCAGGAGCCTGCCTCTCTCTAGACTCCGGCAACTTCACTTGCATGAACTAGGGGGGCGGCTGAAACCTGAAGCAAGCCGCGAATGACTTGCACATCACGCAAGTCGAAAGGCACTTGCACGCTAGAAATCGTTTGAAGAGGGGCGAGGGGGGGGACGCCATGCAAGTAAACTTGCCTGAATCAAAACAACAAGTTCCAGAAGGTACTGATACTCCTACTCCCCGGACCTCTTCCGGGGTGCGTTCTGACCAGGATTTCCAAGCGAATCCAGCCGTGGCGACGAGGGCCTCCCAGGAGGGCGAACAAAAGGAGGGCGAACAACAAAAAAAGAGGCAAGGGTAGCGAGATGGGTACCTTTTCCTCCTCTGAACTTTTACCAGGGCCCACACAAATATCTGCCTTTCTGCACCAGGAGGCTCGGGCGTGCCTCCAGCTTGCCCCTGGAAGGCCGTCGGGCTGCTCCTGAGGGCACACCAGCGACCCAGACCAGGCCTCCGAGAGGCGCCCAGGATGACCCCACGCCCGCCCAAGCGAGCCCCACACAATGATCAAGACGGCCTGCATTGGGGCGACGATCAAAAACGGGTCTTGCGCGAGATGGCAGAGAGACCTTACGCGGCGGCTTACGTGGGCCGCCAGCGCGGCACGCCACGGGGGAAACGAGGGCGCTTACTCGCCGACTTACGCGGACAGCTTACGCGCCAATGTCAGCACAGTCGAAACCGTTTTTTGAAGGGGCCCATGGACACACGAATAAATACACTCATCCCAGGATTCCCACAATGCTCCTATATTTTCTGGGTGTTCGTCCTCCCCGCTTCCCACATGTTCCAATATTTTCCGACTGTGTCTGTGCTTTTTCCCTCCTGATGTTTATGCGTCGCTCATTTGAGCCAGCCCCCCCCTCGCAAGACGGGCCGAGAACCTCCCCGGCGGCCCCATAACAAGATAAACCGCCAAACATGGGAAAGCCTGCCCCGATTCCTGGGATCTACTGGCCCGGGTCAATCCGCACCCGGGTCAGTCGGGCGTTGCAGGATCTTGCAAAATCCTGCAGGATCCTGCAGGATCCTGCGCCCTCGCCAGGGGCAATGCAACCCTGGCTCTGCAGGATGCTGCAGGATCCGGCGCTCTGGCTGACTCCCGTTTGCATTGAACCCCGTCTCTTGAGCCCCGACGATTTCTTTTATCGCCGCCGCCGCGGGGTCCAACGCCGATCCAAGAAATCCGCGTGGATCTCCGAAAGTTGATGCTTGTGCCCTTGCTTCTCCTGCGGCAGGCTACCCCAGTCGCCCCAGACTGCGCCCCACGGGAGGCCCCCCAGAGGCTCCAACACACGCCGGCCAAGAGGTGCTCTGCAGCAGCCCGTCCCGCGCCGAAGCGTTGCTGGGCGCAGGTCGGCGAGGTGGCGGACGGGTGCGGCAACGCAGCTGGATACCATAGGTGCTCGTGGGCTCCAGCGTGCTGGCATCTACCTTGTGGGAGACAGGGGTCTGCCTGTATCCCCCCCCCTGGGGCACGGATGTTCGGGAACAGCGGGATGCGGTGAATATGGATACGTTTGTGCCCCCATGGGGGCCCAAATGTAGATCCATAGCCATAGCCATCGCCCACTGAGGTCCGAGCGCATCGGTTCCCCAGGCAGTGGATCTGGATAAATCCCAGCCCCCGACCTTGGCCCATTCCGCTATCTTTAACCTCGCTACTTCCGTGACTTCCTGGCTAAGATCATTTGGGAGGTTGACCAGGACTTGCTCCCCGGTCGTGTACAGCGGGATGGAGTGGTTACTCTTCTTGGCCAGCTCAGGCAGACTCTTCCGAAAATGATCCAACACCTTCTTGTGCGTCTTCTTGGCCATGTGGCCCTGCCCCCAGCCAGTCTCCGTAAAATTCTTCAGCAAGCGGATCTGCGCCTGCTCGAGCCAGAATTCCCAGCGCTGGGTATGATCCGTCAGCTCCATAAGTCCAGCCTCCTTCTTCCTGTGATAATTCAGCCACTCCTTGGTCTCGCGCTGGGGCTCCTTCCCGGGCAGGGAGATCTTCGGAGGCCACTTCCCGTAGATGCGGTTGAACTCCTGCCAGTGAGCGCCGCCAATCCACCCGATCACAGCCTAAGACGAAAGCAGGATAAGGACAAACCCAGATGAGGAAAAGCCAGGAATCTCTGAAAGCCGGCGAGCCTGGAGGAAGTCCTGGGCGCCGCTGCCGTTCTGGAACGCTGTGAGAGCGTCCTGGAGCGCTCTCGCGCGATTTTCCCTCCTCCCAGGCATGCCCGAAGCTGGCCCAGTCTGGACCCGCGACAGCCCTGGCCCAAAGCTGTGGCCTGCGGCCACCAACACACCTCCACTCTGTTGTAGTGCGGGCATGTCCTCCTACAGGCGGGTTTCGGAAGAGAAATAGAACAATTGTCCACACATGCGCAAAGATAACCCAATGAAAGCCGAAACATCGTCCCCGTACTATTCTTTGACTATTCTTGAATATCCCTCGTGTAGAAGGACATGCCCGACTTAAAAATGCGGTCGGCCCGAGAGCGGCACCGCGGATGATGGCGAAGAGAGCCGTCGTCTGTTGCTGCTCGCGACTTTCACTGGAGACCTGGGCACGGGGACCACTGGCTGGCTCCTGGAGCCCCGGGTTCCAAACGTGTCGACGCCTCACTGCTCCAAAGGGGCCCAGGGACACGAACAATAAATGGACACACAGCCCAGGGTTCCCCATATCCTCCCACATGTTCCCCTTCCTGATGTTCTTCCGCCGCCTTCGTCAACCCTCCGCCGCCTTCCGCCAGCCTTCCGCCGGCTTCCGCCGGCCTTCCGCCCGAGCGCGCGACGCGCCGACGGTGAGGCCCTCAGTCCTGAGTCTTGAGCGCGCCGAGGTGGGCAACCTCGGACATCCGACATCTTGACATGTTCCAGGACGGCGCCCCTGCAGTCCCGACACTTTCCCCGAGGTCGGCAGTTCGCCCCGATTGGGCAGTGCCAGGGGGGAGATGCGTGCACCTTTCGTGTCCCTTCTGGGTTCTGGGGGGCCCGTTTAGGGCACAGAAGGTGCTCATTTCTTCGCCCTCTCATTTATCGCCCCCCCCCCATTGCGCAACCCCTGACCCGAGTGGTTTTTTGGCGGTCCAGGGTCCCCGTGAGGGCCACCGGATGCAGAAGACTACGAGAAGCCTGTCGTGGCGCATTCTTCACGGCACGAAGGAGCACGGGAACAGCCGGTAACGGGGGACATATGGCAACCTCAGCCCCTGAGGTTGTGACACCTTCGGCTGGACCAGGAACTGGGGACCAACTCGGGCATGTGCAAGGGGGGGGCGCCCGTCCTCGATGGGGGCGCAACCGACAGGATAGCCCCCCCAGGGGATGTGTCCTCAAGCCCCCCTTCCTTTCCAAGCGACCTGATCTGTTTGGGGGGAGCTCTGGGATTAGTAAGACATCGCCTATGGACAGCCCCCCCCCCCCCGGGATCATGGGACAAGATCATTGATCATCGAACACAGAAATCGGATCGAATCGGAATTTGCATCAGACCAGGAGACGGAACCGAATCGCTTCGCGGTCGCTCCAGGACGCACCACAGCGCCATGCAAGCACTGGGCCGCGCCGTCGGAACATCGGCATCGAATCGGATCGCGCCGGCCGAAACCCATATCGAAACGAAGCCCCTCGGATATAGAAGAATAATTATCCCAGGGCGACCCTACTTAGGAGTTGGAGCATCTAGGAAAGCAGCATCTACATCTACACCGACAGCTACATGAACATCTACACCTGCATCTACATCTACATCAGCATCAACAGCGAGACTCACATCTACATCTACATCTACATATACACCTACACCTACACCTACCTCTACATCTACATCTGCAACTACACCTACATCTACATCTACATCTACACGTTCGCATTGGTGTTGTGTTTGCTTTGCCTTGCCTTTGCCTTTGATATTGTTTTTGCTGTTGCTTTTGCTTTGACTGTGTGTTTGCTTTGCTTGATTTTGCTGTTGTTTTGCCTTTCCTTTGCTTTGCTTTTGCTTTTGCTTTGCTTGGCTTTGCGTTGCTTGTGCATTGCTTTGCTGTCGTTGCTGTTGCTTTGCCTTTGCGTTGCTGCTATGCTATGATACGATATGCTATGTTATGCTATGCTATGTTATGCTGCGCTGTGCTATGATGTGCTGTGCTGTGCTGCGCTATGCTATGCTATGCTATGCTGCGCTATGCAATGCTATACTGGGCTATGCTATGATATGCTGTGCTGCGCTATGCTATGCCACGCTATGCTATGCTATGCTGTGCTCTGCTCTGCTTAGGCTCAGCGAAGCTACGATGAAGGTCAATTAAGCTAAGATAAACCTGAACTAAGATGAAGCTATGCTAAGCTGGGATGAAATAAGCTAAGCTAAGATGAGATAAGCAGCGCTAAGCTAAGGGGACGTAACTGGGGGAACCGCGGGGCGGATGCCGGGGGAACCACCCGGGGCGGAGCCCACTGCCCGGCCCCTTTAAGCTCAGAGAATAAGAACCCTGCAGAGCCTAGGAAGGGAAACAACGGCACAAACATGAACTTTTGGCGCTCCACGCAGATTTCTTGGATCCGCGCTGGACCCCCCGTCCCTGGCGCGCGGAGCCCGCCAGGGGCGGCGCCGGAGGCGCCGCCAGGGAGGCCAAAGCGCGGATCCAAGGAATCCGCGCGGAGCGCCAACAGTTCATGCTCATGCCGCGTTATCTTCTTCGAGGATGGACAGGCTGACCCCTGCGGGATCCTTGACGCGCACCCCGTCGTCCCTGGGCATGTTGGGGTCGCAGCCCGAGGCCGTCTGGGAGCCCTGCTGGCCGCGGGCCTGGCAGCCCGCGGGCAGCAGGGCGGCGGCCGCGGCCGCCACGGCGGCGAGGCAGCGCATGGGCGCGGGGGCGGCCGCTGGGCGCAGGGGGCAGAAAGTCCAGACATCCAACGCCTTGCGAGCGACGCGCGTGGACGGGTAACTCCAGAGATCCCAACGCATGGGAAAAATCGGGGCGGAGGTTCTTCGCAAGTTTCGGCCTTTGGGGGCCCTCGGCGGGCCCCGGGACGGTCAAAAAAGGACGCGGGGTGAAAAACTGGTGGCCGGGGAGGGGGTCGAGACTTCCGGGGACCCCGTATGGAGACAATCACGTCATCGGATCTCTGGGCCCAACTCCTCCTATCCTTGCCCCTCCCCGCGCGGAGAGGGGGACATGGAGCGCCAGGGACCCCGTATGGGAAAAAACACGACATCGGATCTCTGGGGTACGCGGGATGATTTAGCGACCTGACTCCACGGACGCAGGTCGCCAGTGTGGCACACCGCCATGGAGGGGGGCGTCTTTGCGCGCGACCTCTACGCGGGCATCTCACGCACGACTCTATCCACGCCCTTGTCCGCTTTCGGAAACCCGGATCCAACAACGTTTTCACCTCTTGGGAGAGTTATTTTAACTTCCGCCGCCTTCCGCCGGCCTCCGCTGGCAGAGGCGGCCTCGTTTTACTTCCGCCGACCTTCCCCCGCCCTTCCGCCGCCTTCCGCGGCGGAAGAGATGGCAGCTCCTTCGATCCTCGAAGGAAAGGCCTTTTTCGCAACGCCCCAAATAGACGCGTGCTCTTCCGTCGCTCCTGTGGGCCCTACCCCATGCGGGTTTGATTTCTGAAGAGCCGGCCGGGGCTCAGACTTCTAGGCGCGTGTGCAGCCAAGTAAATTCTGGCGGGGGCATCCGCTACCGCAGGGCTGATTGTATGCGCGAGGGTAGTGCCTTCGCAAACGGTTGCAGAAACACAAGATCTGTTCACGTAGATCGGCCCAAGTGGACATGATACATATGTATGCGCAAGCACGTATATATCTATATCTAGAACATTGGAACGTACGTGCATCAATCTACACACACCTGCATATACATATGTTTATATATACACATGTATATCCATACACATATATACATGTGTATGTGTGTATATATATATGGATCGGCCTCCTGAAGCCCTTACCAAGCCGCGGGGCCGTCGACAAACTCCTCGAGATGAAACGCTGGCCCTGGGGAAGGAGCCCAAGTCTCCCAGGGGCCCCGCCTTGACAAGGACAAGACGTCGGATGTATGGGAGGGCGGGGAAAATGAAAAAAGACGCCCTGGGCCGAAATGGCTGATGTCGAGCTGGTCCTCCCTCCCCTCTGCGCCCTCGGCCCTCGCGTGCCCGATACCACTCTCGCATCGCTCAACCTGCCAGAACACGTGCTGTCCAGCAGCTTCTGCTCGGAGTTACCCCGTCGCGGCTGCTCAGTCGACGCGGCGATCAGGGGAAGGACCCGGAGGAACTGGGAGAACGAAGGGAGTTCAGGAGGATGCAGGATGGTGAGGAAGAGGGAAGATGAGGAGGAGGAGGACGACGAAGAGAACAAGGAGGACGAAGAGCAGGGGGACGGTGATAAAGAGGAGGAGGAGGAGGAGGAGGAGGAGGCGGGATGACGAGAGTGAGGACGTGGACAAGGATGGGGGACGAGGGCACCTGGGTCCCTCGACCGCTTGACGGCCAGCAGCGGCGCAGACGTGGGCTACCCTTGTCACCCTTCTTCCAGCAAGTCGGGATGGAGAAGGAGAAGAGGAGGAGGAGGAGGAGGAGGAGGAGGAGGAGGAGGAGGGAGAATGGGAAGAGGAAAGATCAGAGCGGCTCCCACGCCGCTGCCGAACACGGCCGCGGAGAACTGCGTTCTGGCCTCCCGGTCTCCCGCCCGAGGCCTCCGGCCCGGCACCGATGGGGCAGTCCCCCTGACGGGCCCAATTCCTGAGATCTCTGCGGCGGCGTCTCCGCATCCCGCCAGGCAACCCATGCGGGGTCCCCAGAAGACTCGACCCATTCCCGAGGACCGGTTTTTCATCCTGAACCGTTTTCTGACCGTCCTGGGGCCCAGCGAGGGCCCCCAGAGGCCGAAAATTGCACAACACCTCCGTCTTGATTTCTTCCATGCATTGGATCTCGTGGGGGGATGAGGAAAGAAAGCACGATGAGCACGAGGAAACTGGACCAACCTCCTCGGACAGTCCAGACAGCCCTGGGCTCCCCTGCGCCGCTGTCCCCCTGGAGGCTTACTGCTTGCCCTTTCTCTAACTCTGAAGCCCCCTCCCCCCTCGGGGCGGTGGGCTGCGAAGCCGCCGGTTTGCAATCCCTGGGCGACCCGCGTCAGCAGCACGCCGTTGCTGCTTCTGTACAGCTTGTTGCCGTCCTCCAGGAACTTCCGCACGTCCAGGAATATCTGCCGCGCCCTTCTCTTCCGCCAACACACCCTTGCTTCACGCGTCCCGGCGCCGTGATATTCTGCCGAAGCAAGCAGGCGACGTACATTAGTAATCGTACCAATACTGATAGCAACAACCATAATCATAATCACACTCAGAATATCTATCCGAATAACAATAGTGATTACTGGAATGATAATACTACAAATCACACGGGTAATACTACTAATACGAATGGTGATACTAATAAATTAGAAATGGTACTAATAACACTACTAATACAACTAATAATGTGAATGATAATAAACAATAATGCGAGGCCAATTTATATACACCACCACCGCCCGCAACAGTAGTTTACTGCAAAAAGCGTTAGAGACAGGGCCATGCCAGACGACGCTGCGATGCCACGGCGAAAGGAGCGCGGCGCAGCTCGCAGGCGCCGTGGCATGGGAAGTTCCTGGAGCAGAAACAGCACATCTTGGTGGTGGTGTATAAAATCGCTCCTCTTGGTAAGCAAAATCTTATACACCACCACCGCGAGTGCTTTGATGAATTTGGTTTCGGTCCTTAAGAGAGAGGAGGCAGCCCGTTTGCCGTTGGCGGCGGGAGGGGGGCTGCAGGCATTTTTCGCCAGAGCACAACTGCACCAAATCGCATCGTATATTACTCTCGATCTTGGTGGTGGTAGTCATCTACTGTGCTCGGATATAACAATAAGAACGCACAGCCTACGATAATTCATAAAACGAAAAAATATTTACGAATAAGGCGAACCGTGACAACACTAATAACAGAAACACTACGAATAATAATGATAATAAGAATACGACGAAACTGCATGAACTAAATAACCAAAAGCTTTCAGAAAACCGCTTTGATTCAAGCAATTTGCGCGAACCTCCGAAACATAACGTCTTTGTAATTTCTGCTTCGATCGGGGATCTTCTGACCTGGGTCATTCCAAACCCGGGTCAGTCAGGCCCTGCAGGATCCTGCAAGATCCTGCATGATCCTGCACCCAAGCCCAGGTCAGTGCCCCCCTGGCCCTGCAGGATCCTGCAAGCACCAGCACTCTGACTTGCCCCCGTTTGCATTGACCACCGTCCCTTGAGCCTTGATTCGACACCACGGGTAGCCCTTCCCGGCCAGGGTTGCCGTTCCTCTCCCCCTCTTGCTGCCCCTGCCGTGCGCCCGCCAGCCGTCGCGACCACGCACATGCGCACGAGACAGCGCGACGCACAACCACTCGCAGGCGCATGCCAAGCACACGCGTCTGGAACTCCACGCACGCAGGCAAGGCTCGCGCGTCTGTTAAGTGCGACGCATAACCACTCGCAGGCGCATGCGAACCACGATACAGCGCGACGCACAACCATTCGGAGGCGCGCACATGCACGATAAAGCGCGACGCACAATTACTCGCAGGAGCATGCAAAGCGCGCGCGGCTGGAACCCCACACACGCAGGCAAGGCACGCGCGTCTGTAAATCGGCGGCGAGAGAGAAGGGGAAGTGAGAAGGAGAAGGCCTTCTCAGAAGGATCCGAAGTCCCCTGGCATTCTTAAAAGTTCTCTGAGCCTTCCCCGAAGACGCAGAAAACTCCTCAGAAGGCGCGAGGGCTTCTGAGAAGCCCCGCCGCCTTCTGAGAAGGCCTTCTCCTTCTCACTCCCCCCCCTCGCTCGCCGCCGAGTTGAGAGGGACAACCATGCTGAGTTGTGTTACAGCTCCCCTGCAGTCGTGAATGAGAGTGATGGGTGGCAGGGAGTCGATGGCTGTTTGCGAGGCTGGGACATATGCCTAAAGAGGCTCGCCGCAGGCGCACTTCTTGCATCACGACACGAGCCCGCCGTGGGCGCCGACGTCTTCTCAAAGCGTTGCTCGTGGTTCGCGGGTGAATCGCGGGGTGGAGGGTGGAGGGTCGATCGCGGGTGGACCGCGGGGTGGGGGGTGGGACCACGGAGGCGGCGCCGACAGCAAGAAGAGATGCGAAGAATCCGCACCGCGGAACCACATGTCAGCCACGCACCCAGGGGGGGAATAAGCCTGTCTGGCAGTGTAACCCAGGGGGAGTGTAAGCCCAGGGGGAGTGTAAGCCCAGGGAGAGTGTAAACCCACTTCGAAGTGCACATGTCAGAGGAAGAGTGGCCGAACGGCTGTGCTTCCTCCCCGCGCACGCAGGAGACGGATGGAAGCCAGTCCTGCCCTGGGCGAGGCTTCTGAGCGAAAGGCCTTGGGGACAGTAATACCCGACAAAGCGCCCTCAGCATCTCGGCCGTGCTTCCAGGATCAGCTTCGAAGCTCGAGGCCTGCATTATGTATTCTACGATCTTGGCTGCCTCCTGGACAGCTTGAGCTCCTTGCGCCTCCATGGTATCTCCAGACATCCAGACATTGGCCACCCCATCTCTTTCGGGAGACGTAAGACTCGGGTTCGGGGGACTCGGGTTGGCCTGACGGGGCCATCATGAAAATGACGAGACCCACTCTGAAGTTGGTGCGAGCTCCCGCTGCAGACAACCCTCGGAAACTGGACCGTCAAAATCCAGGACGCGCTCGTCAAAAGGCGTCGGCAAAACCGAGTTCCGGCGTACTCTCAACCTCTTTGCCAAGGCCAATTGCCATCGCGAACTCCGCTTTGACAGCCCTGGGGCGCGAGGACTCGCCCACCGTCGCCCCAAATGGTAAAACACGCACCGCACTGATGTCTTACGCTGCCAGATGTCCGGGTCCTGGGTCCTCCTCCTCGAAGCCTGCCCCTGGATCTCTCCTGGGGCACGTCTTGAACCTAAAACTCAAGAGGGATGCCGTTTCGGTGACGAGAGGTCTTATGGAGGGCCCACGTCGGATCGGACGAAAGGGGGGGGAATAAAAGGGAGACTGGCGATCCTCTCGCGTAGCTGGTTTTCCAGCGCCTCCTGGCTCTCGGGGCGCCAATGAGCTGTGCCCAGCTGCGGGGCCGAAACCAGCTGCACGCAGCAAATTTTGCACCACCCCTCTCCCTATCCTGGGGGGGCCGAAAGGCACCGATACCGCTACTCCCCGGACCTCTCCCGGGGCGGGGCGCCCTCTGACTAGAATTTAACTTCGAGGGGAATCCAGCCGTGGCGACGAGGGCTCTCCAGAACGAGCAGCGGTATTGGTAGATCTCTTCGTCCCCTGATCTCTCCCCCTCCCCCCTCTCGTCCGCCCTCGGCCTCCTGCAGGGCCAGACGGGCCCCCGGGCGTATCCAGAACCCTGGTGCCCGATCCTGTCCGGGCCGCGGCTGGATCGGCCCCGGGCCCCGGCATCCGAACCCCGGCCCCGGCTGGGCGGTGGGGGCTGTGGCGCCCCCCTCGCGGGTCGGGCCGCGCTGCCGCCGCTCCTCCTCTCACAGGGCTCGCCCCCCCGCAGCGAGGGACTCGCCGCGCCTCGGAGCTCGGAGCCCCGAGCGGCACGGACGGAAGCGGGGCCGTGCAGGCGAGGCCACAGCTGCGGCGCGGGCTCGAGCTCGGGCTCGGGCTCCGGGGGGTCCTGGACGTATTCGCGTTCGCTGTCTCCGGGCCATTTGGGGCCCTCCACAGGCCACTGGACCGTCGGAAAGACCCCAGGAAATTGACTTGCATGGGCGAGGGGGTGGGCCTGAGCCTGAAGCAGGCCGCAGACGACGTGCACGTGCGGACATCACGCAAGTCGCCGCAAGGCACTTGCACGCTGGCATTTGTTGGAGGAGGGGCGAGAGAAGGGGGGGGGGGGGGGGGGGGGGCGAACGCCATGCAAGTAAACTTGCCTGGGTCGAAACAAAACGTGCCCAAAACTCCCTGGGAGAAAGAGCGGTCCTCGGGGAGAGCCCAGCCACCCGGGTCTGGAGCCCATCTCCCGACCCATTTTTTGCCCCGTGGCGACGCTGAGCTAGATCTTCGATCCCCCCCCCCTCCTCCTCCTCCTCCTCCTCTTCCTCCTCCTTCTCCCCCTCTCCCTCCTCCTCCCCCTCCTCCT